AAAAATATCCCCGTCTTCACATTCAGTTTTGTTTAGTGCTTATGACTTTTCATGGAAGCAAGAAAAAGAAAGAAAAATGCCATGAAAGAAGTCTCTTATGCTCATCAAGTCTATAGCGTGTTATATTGAGCTAAAGAGTGCCATGTGCGTTGGATGTCAAAAGCGTCACTATATGACGCCATGAGAATGCGTTGTTTATACACAGAACTGTTTGTCTAATGACAGGAGAGGTGTGCTCTCACTTTTTCTCTGGAAAATGAAAAAAACGAAGTTGACATTTGCTCTCCAAAGATGAATGTCCTATGTCAGCAGAACCTTTAAATATTCATGAGCTTTTATAAGAAGCGCAAATTGTGTCAGATGAGGGATGGTAATTTTCTTTCCAATCAGTGCCAGGGAATATTTCAGTGTGTAAGAGCTGGAAAGCCCTGTCAGATACAACTTAATACCGTATCAACAAACGTACACATGTATATCTATAAACAGGACTAATAGCTATATTCCGAGTTTGAAACAGGTTGTACACTGTCTGTCATTGAAAACTTCGATGTCTTTAACTTTCTTATAGTGTTTATGACGTCTCTTGTGCTTAGGCAACATTTATTTGATCAAACTGTCACAATCAGTTTGCAACAATGGTGAGGATTGAGGACAGGTGCAGCAGTAAACTTACCTTTACTCAAACAAATCACTAGACATAAAACACAAAAAATCAAGACCAGAACAACCGGTTAAAACGCAACTTGAACAAACATTCAACTGAAAGAAACAAAGCCAACTGACCAAGAAAACAAGACACACCTGAATCAAACTAATCAAATAATGAGAAAAGGTAACTAAACAGCAAAAAGCAAAACAAAGTTAACACAAAACAGTAAAGCAGCAATATTTTAAAAAAAATCGGCATCTTGAGTCACATGATCTTTCAGAAATCATTCTAATATGCAGATTTTCTGCTCAAGAAATATTTATTATTTTGATCATCGTTGTTATTTTATATTACAGTGGAGGAGCTGCAGTTTTCCATTATGCTAAATTTAAATTCCATTTCTTATCTGCTCACAGTTTTTTGTTTTTGTTGTTGCTTCCTTTAATTTAAAAAGCCATCTGTCTCAAATCTGGATCTTGTTAGTGACACAGCACTGTTGTCTGAGGTCTCTCAGTGACGGTGGTGATCTCCTCCTCCCCCGACGTAAATCCCAGGACACGATTCCAACATTCCGTCAGAACGCAGCGTCAGCACAGACCTGGAGGAGTAGACGCTCACTATCAGCACCTGACATTACTCAGCCGCAATAAGGCAGACAGTGCGTCAGTGAGTATGAAGCACAGACTGTGGGCAGGAGGATGGTATTACTGCAACCTTCTGCCACGCCAAGATCCAAGCCCTGAAAAATACAGCCTGTCAATCAAAGCAATGCTTATATGTCAGTCAAAAGCAAGGATATTCTGCTGGTGCTGTTTATGTTGGACTGCAAATGCAGCTTTCAAACCGCTTCAGCGTGCACGATTCACGTGTTTGTGTTAATAAAGCCACTGTGTGTTTGACTCCTAGATTCACCAAATCTTCTTTTCTGATATTTATCGTAAAGTCTGTAGACTTGGACTTTTTGAGTGGTTTGCATGCAAAACGGTAATTTAACTAAGAAAACTTGAACAGAGAGTCTGGGCTGACATCCAGGTGACGTCTTGATGTCTGTGTCTTGTCTTGTTTTGTCAAGCCACAGATGCTCCAGGTATTTAAGGCCTGTAGCAACTGTTTGAGGTCTCATTATCAGGAGCTTCAGCAAATGTTGTTTGGCAACAGAACAGTCAAAAATCTGTTCCTATAAAATCACACATTTAATTTCACGTCGTTTCATACTAGACTGGTTTTATTTATGCACACTTCCACAGTAGTGGAAACCATTATGCAGAGAAAACCTTCATATTTTGAGAATATGAAGTAGGCTATTAACAATTATAAAACGGTTAGTTCCAATCCTTGATTCTGATTGGTTAATAGCTGCGCTTTATCATGATAAAACACGGCTATGAGCGATTTACCCAACGCTTATATTTATCACTGCGCAACACTGTGGTTCCTATATAGAGTGCCGAAGTTACGACGTCACTCTGTAGGCCAAAACGCGGAAGTGAGTTAGCATTTTAGCACTCCTGGTTCCCTCGCTCTAAAGTCTATGGGATTTTTGAACGGGTTTTTGCTAAATCGCCTGAAATAAGGTCTGTGGTGAACAAAGCCTCTAAATATTCACGTTTTGATCTATGACACAGAACACACAGTTATAACCTGCTTGTGCTTTTTTTAAACTTTACTGTCTGCTTTTGTTTTTAAAAAAACTTTATATAGGCTTAAAAATTGATAAATTTTGGATTAACTTGTAAAGATTATCTTGATAGATAAAACGTGTAAGGCTCACAACTCTTTGTTGAACACAGATCTTATTTTTTGCGATTTTCCAAAAGTCTATGGGAAAAATGCATTGCTTTTCGATCGAGGGAACCCATGCGCCGCTAGCTTCCGAGTTGTCCTACAAAGTGACGTCATCACTTCGGCACTCTATTGTTTTGATTTGAGCTTTCATGCATATTACACATTGGAACGTTGTTGCTGTTCCCGGTCAGGGACTATTTTTTCTAGCGGAAGGAAGGCTTTTAGTGATTTTACCTCATGAGAGTTGCACTAATTTACATATTTTTTTACTTAAAAATTTTTATTGTGCGGTAACCGTTTTATAAAAGCAATAAGGTACTCAAGGCAAGTGCTGTATATTGTGAATAAGTAACGGTTGAAGGGCGTTGGTAGGCTCACTCAAGCGGTTTGGTGTCTAACAACGTCCTTCAGCCGTTACTTATTCACGATACAGCACAGCCTCTCATACCTTATTAGAGAGTTTTACTCTTTGCTTTAGAAAATTAGTCCAAATTTTGACTGTTTTGATAGTTTATCAATGACTAATGAGTTTGATAGCAGTTGTTATACTTTATAAATCGTATAAGGTTACTTGTTTGTTTTAAAGAAAGCAGTTAGACCAATATAACTGGTTCTTTTAAAACATACTGTTCTTTTCAGAGTTTGACTTTTGATTTTCCACTAGAGGGCAGAATTGGTCTCAGATTAGAATAAGCAATCCTGTTGTTGTTGTTTTTCTTTTGTTTTTTTAGCAGGGCAAACATGACTAACATTTAGTCACGCAAAGATGAGTCGTCAGGTGAGTAAATTTTTACTTAAATCACGTTTTCCTGAAACCTACAGTCAGGACTTTGTTTTTCTGGTTTCTAAAAACAGACTACTTCGCCAGAAATGTTTTTATGACATGATATTTGTTTTCTCTTGTCCAAGATTCTCAACTTGATTAACTTAATTTGTATGTTTTGGGAAAGCTTGTTGTAAGGAGAATACCATGTTAAAATTCACGGTGTTACACTTGAACTAAGTTTCTAAATTAAAATTAAAATGATCAGCCCCAGAAAATAAAATTATTAGTGTCAGCTAATAATAATAAAAAAAATAAAAAAAATCTTTTATGTAGCCGTCGGGGTGGGCCTGCATCTTGGAAAAGTACAAGGACAAAATATTCTGTCACACCTCATTTCTAACTCTGAATCCGAACTGCTGGTTGTGGGATGAAAAATATGTTGGAACCTGTTCAGACCTGAACTCACGAAATACCTCATTTCTTTCGTAATTTCCGGCTTAGCCTATGCCAGATCAGGTGAAGTCTCAAACCGGGAGTTATTGTGCCCACCGTTTGAAACAATGAAAGGAATAACATTATTCCTAAAAGATGCAAATGGGTGGCTAACTGTCCAAAAACCAACCAGGGACCAACCAGACCAGTAGACCAGCAAATAAAATGCTGGTTTAAGATGTTGTGTTTCAACCCTTTTATTTAGGCAGCTCCCGATTTTAATTTTCCATGCATATAAAACATTATCAAAGGCAAATAAATTTGTTAAGTTAGAAATGTATTGTTTCTGCTTGTGGAAGTATGGACAATTTAAAAACATTTCATTCATTTTTTACACAAAATATTCACAAGGTTGAAACCTAAAACTATTCAAACAAAGTACTTTCAAATGAAACAATGCTAACTACCTAAAAAAAAAAAAGTTAAAAAAAGGGACAGTGTGTATTGTCCTTATGCTGCATGACCTGAAATTTCAAGAACATTAACATTTGTAACAGCAAAACCTCAAGTGCAGTTTCCAATGATGTGTGAAGAAAGATTATTTCAGTTTATTGTTGAAAACCCATTTTTATTTGGGCATTTCTCCAGCTTAGCAAGCTAGCTTGAGACAATATTTGCACTGAGTGGTCGTCAGGGAGCAGCAGCAAGTCTGTGAAGTTTTTTTGTTATGGTAACCAGATACATTTCAAACTGATATGATGAAAGACCAGAAGGAATGTAACAGAAAATCAGCTTGGCAAGCTTCACTGATATCTCCTGTTTAGAACCAGAAAACATACCAGAGGTGGTAGCTTGAACATCATTTAGGATAGGCTACTTAAAGGACAAGTTGGGTATTTTACACTTAGATCCCTGTTTTAAGATCGTTAAGAACGGTTAAGATTGAAATTTGGACATATGCTGCTGGCCCGATAATTTTCGGTTTCTGTGGCTGTTTGTCCCGTCGGGACACTGCACACACCTTGTGAAACTGGGACTGCGCCAGGATCTCTACTAACATCTCCAAATCTCTCACTAAATCCACACTCAGCCAAACATGCAAGGTGTGGATCAAGAAGCAAAAACAGGAAATGAACTGCTTTACAGTAATTCTTTTGTTTGCAGAGGCCCTTTATTGCTTCTGAACTCCTGTCTAGTAGAGACAGGTTTAGAGGGTTCAGCCAGGTATGATGAGTTTGTTGTGGCTCTTTTTATGTAGTGCAACCCTTATATTAAATATATACACAAAGCCGAACAGTTCTCTCAGAAAAGCTCTACTTCAGGCAAGGTTGTTTTTTTTTTTTTGTTTTTTTTTTTCATATATTATGTTACTGAAAACAGATCTTTCCCTCTTCGCACAAGTTCACTGAACCATTTTTAAAAGTTATTTTATTTCTATGTCTGACACAAATCATCAATATAAATATTAGGACTGGGCGATATATTGCGTGATATTGTTATGGGCATCTAATTAGTAAAGCCGGTTCCTTGATTAGTAGTAAATCACCTTCACCTGCTTTCACATGGACGATATGATGCAGATATGAGTGTTAAATTAATACTCAAGAGTGTTAAAGTTAATGAGATAATTAAGTGATTAATTTAGTGATGATTGAGCATTATTGAAAACACCTGATGATAACTAGCAGAATCACTGAAGGAGAAAATCTAAAATTGTAAGCCACCACTATGGAGATCAGTGTTTGCTTTGGGCTCTTGACCCTTATATTATTAACTTTAAATTATTAATTGGCTGTTGCATCTGAGTATAACCTGTCAGATGAACAAAGAAAAAAATATATAATGGTGTTGGTTATATTATGACATTCATCATTTGAAATGTATGTTTGTGATTTATTTTGTTGGTTACAGCATAACTGAGATTCTGCATAAATATCCAGAATTTGAGATGTAATATAAAGGATTTCTTAAAAGTTGTTTAAAAAAACATTATTACTTATAGGCACACACATCCCTCAAGATTCAGTTACTGCTTCTCAACAATGGTGACAAGCAGAATATTCAATTCGGAAAAGTAAATTACATAGACAATTCAGATCATAATTCATTCATACCGCAATGCATGATGAAAAACCATGTATACCCGCCTTAACAGGTCTGGGTCTCCATCTTTTGACCACATTACGACAACAAAAGCACTTGAACGCAACACCAGTTCACAAGTGGAAAGTATTGTATTTTCCATAGCACGTGAACGCACCAATAGTACTTCACATTTCAAGTTGACTAAACTTTACATTTTAAGGCCAAATGAACACTTACTTTTTAAGTTGAAATAACAAAATTTGCTTTGTTAAGTCCAGGATTTATCAAATATGCGCTGGAGGCATTTGGCGTGGAATGAATCTCTCTGATTTAGACTTAATTAACTCACATCCTGGCTTATTACTGAGACAATAATCCTAATTCATTCCTGCATTTTCATGCTTACTGTCACAGATAAGAACGACACAGGTAACGCAAACAAGAGGTTATATTAAAGGGTGACCTCACCTCTGAAAAGATGAATGTGTATTTAAAATGGGTCATATATCTTGAAGAAATGTGAGATTAATTTGAATTTGGAGCTTTCTAGACTGAGAAAAGCCAGAAAATGTATTTTTGGCTTATGTGGATGAAAAACAAACACTCCCACAATGCACTTGCTTCGCTGCCCAAGGAGGCCACGCCTACCGGTAACAGAGCGCAGTAGTTAA